AGGCGGCGGCCGCTCTGGCAGCAGCCATGCCAGGGGCTGGAGGGGCCAAATCTGAAGCCAGAGGCAACGGCCCTCTGCCTGGAGGAGGAGGGCTCATGGAGGAGATGAGTGCCCTGTTAGCAAGGAGGTAGCGACACATCATATATTACTCTTCGATTCAGTACGTCTCAAAATAGGCACTTGAGTCATATGAATGAATTTCAGATCTTGTTTCATATACTACAGAAAAGTGAAACTTGACACAGTTGCCATACAGTAGATTTAGCAAACCCCAATGTTGGTCGCAATGGATTTTGTTGTGCCACCTGAAGAATAAGTTCATGTACTCATCACTCTCACTATTCCTCAGTATTATGAGATGATATGTAGTAAAATCGTAATTTAAATGCACTTTGTTGCTGACAGAGAAGTATCACTGTAAGATCTAGAGAAATCTAAGGAATTTAGGTTTTAAAAATGTGGAGTTCAGGAGGAATTGTGTGGTCTGTGCTTTATGATATTAACATTAAACATGATGATATGTTTTTAAAAATAGCAACTGTTTTTCAGAAATAATTCTGGACTCTGTCTTACAGGAGAAGAATTGCAGAGAAGGGCTCATCACCTGAACCTGACCAGAGATCAGTAAGTACCATTAGATCCTTCTTGTCTGCTGTATTCATGGGGTAGGACTGGATAAGTCTGACTTCTTCCTACTCCATTCAAGCATGTACTAGGTATAAGCAAATTGATATTGGATTAGCATTTGTTGGATATGTGTAAAATTATGTGTGTTGACATATCATCTGTCTTTACATGCTTGAAAGAAAAGAATAAATCAAATAAATCAAATCAAATAAAGGAGTGGATTATCTTGAAACGTGTCAGTAGTGAGTTGGGTATGTGCATGTCTCCAGCTAAAAATGTATGTGTAACAACATTAATAATAAATTATGTAATTAACTTATAAAGCTAAATCCTGGTTCCAGCTTCTCAAATGTGAGTGTGGTGGTGAGCTTTAATAATAATTCTTGATAAAAACCAAAGACTTTGATGTGCCAAGTTGCTGTGTGGTTGCATCAGATCAATCCAGCCATTTACTGTAGGCTCAGCCATTCTCAGGGATGAACACAGATTTTTTTTTTTTATACCGCTCATTTAACCAGGCCAGTTTCCACATTATTGCATTTTTTTCCACTTATCTATAATGTGAGGCCCCAAGCAGTTTGTCTGTTTAGTCACAAATTCTTGTTATTAAAATTCCAAACCTTAATTTGGAAACCCTTTTACAGTAATTCATTAAGGATAATATATATTTTCCTTTGTGCTGAGCCGTCTCTGTGAGGTTCAGCTACATTTGCATAATATTTGGTCATATGAGAATGAAAAATAGACCACGCAATATCCAAATGCCTCCAGGACAAAACACCCCTTGGCATTTCTCATTTAGTTTGTGAGGAAAAAATGAATAGCTTCAAATGAGATTCATAAAGACAGACACACAGGCTCTTTTTAGCCAGAGAGTGACATATTTGCACACAGTTAACAAAGGAAAACATACACTGAGTGTAATCCAGGAGCAGCGGCTAAATGTTCACTGTAATCAGTGTATCAGTTCTTGTTTCCCTTCTGGTGGTTGATTCCCAAATGATATGACTTTGAGGCTGCACTGACTGATGCTTTTTAGCTGATGCGCTTAATCATTGAGAGAAGATGCTTTTCATCTGGACAGCACAAAGCGGTTTTAGTGTTATCATTCAGCATCACTGCTGTCGTTACAAAAGCTCAGCATGTGACGGTCTTTCATGTTTTACTTGTCATCACAGACACTGTAAAGTTACCATTGCTAATCGGATCATGAAAGGTTTGGGGTGAAATCTGAGCACTTATCTAACCTTCAAAGGACTGGACTTATGTAACAGTCTGTTACTTACTGTACTCATTTTTTTCTTATACCTTTTTATAAGTCTTATTAAAACACCTTCACAATTTGACATATTTAATGAAAAGTAAATCTGGTCTTAGCATTATGAAAAAGTTTTATAAAGGAAACTGGGTGCGTTCCGTCACTACTTCAGGGATTTGTCACTGAAATACTGCCGCTTAACATCACCGTGATGCTGTTAAAACAAATACAGCATTGTGTCAGTCTACAACTTTCACAAAAGTGCTTAAAGTTGTGCAAAGGCCTAGTAGGTGCTAGTACTGTAAGTGTGGAGAGGAAAAGGAGCTGTGAAATAAAAAGTAACACTGATGGCTTTCTCACTTTGAAGTGATAAAGTTGAATTTGTGTTAAACTTCACACTTTGTGTATTAAGACCGACATGGTAATACTTCATTTTAATTTACAAGGAAAACTAGAATTACCACTTCACATTTGTGTGCCTTTGTCAAATTCATGGGTATGGGACAGAAGTGAGGTCACTGACCTTGACCTTTGACCAGCAAAATTTTACCAGGTCAACTTTGAGTCCAAGTGGACACTTGTGCCAAATTGGAAGAAATTCCCTCAAGGTGTTCCTGAGATATTACGTTCACAAGAATGGGAAGATCGCCAGGTCACAGTGACCTAGACTTTTGTCCACCAAAATCTAATCAGTTCATTATTGATTTGAAATTTGACTTGTGCCAAATTTGAAGAAATCGCCTCAAGGCATTTCTGAGATATCAAGTTCACAAGAATGGGCCGTACAGACAGACAACCCGAAAACATAATGCCTCTGGCTACAGCTATCACCGGTGCGGAGGCATAAAAAACATGTATGAAATAAACAACGTTAAACACATTTCACATGATCAGGTGACATCCGAAGATCACATGACATTTTTGAATGTGAAATGGTCTTTTCATGAGTGTGACAGATTAACACTTTAAATGTCCTTATACTGTATTTGGTTACAGGCACAGTGAGGATATTAATTAATTATACATGATAAATGAGTGTTTAAAATGGAGATAAAGCCATCTCTCCTGAGCGACACCTCTCTGTTTGAACAACCAATAACTCATTTCCCTCATGCATTTTGCAGGCGGCCTGAGAGGAGCATCCATCATTGACTCACTGGATACACTGTATGTTATGGGACTGACAGAAGAATATAATGATGCCAAAGAATGGGTGCAGACCAGTCTCGATCTAAACTCGGTAAGAGACTCCTTCTCGCCTAAATGGACAGTTTTTATTGTTGTCTTTCACTTTTCAATCTGTAACTCAAGTATCTGATAACTCCAACCCAAACGTTGGCCTCATGGAGACTCCAACTAACATAATGAAGTGCTCAGTAGTGGCCTTGCATGCTGGATTGATTTTAAGCTGTGCTTTTGTGCTTTAACACCAACATTGTGTCCACTGAGTCTGACAGTTTTCCAAAGCTCAGGACATGCCAGCAGGTATCAAAAGCTTCCTGTTTGGCCACCAGCCACGCCATGTTACCGACTGATGGGATTCTCTGTCTCTCTGGGTGGGAAATGTGGCAAATAAAAGAGATGAAGGAGAGGAGGGGTCTAAGATAGAAAACTGAGGGAGAGAAGAGGAAAAAAATAAGCCATGCCCCTCCTCACTGAGCAAGTTTGTAATGACCAGGTTGGGAACAATAAGTGTTGCCAGTTCTGATATCAGTTTTGGACTGAGTAACTGAATGTGGTTTTCAAGTGTGGTCCAGTGTGTCAGTGGTTTTGTGAGTTTTGTAAATGAGAGAGGTCATTTCTGGTCCACCTCTCAGTCAGGTTTTGCACTATGTGTAATAAAATGTACTTTATATAATGATGTGTAATTACATAAAGCTTACAAGTCTAATATGTCATTATGACAGTCAGCGTCTAGTTTGACATTAACAGTAAGCAGCACTTAAACCAATTCACTGCCAGTTGTGATGGTGTCAGATGTCTCAACTTTGGTATCTCATTTGCTGAGAAAAAGGTTTTTCCATCAGCATTAAAATCACTTGTTTGTTTCAAGGTTGGTTGCTAAGAGAACAACCCCAGACTGTAGCATAGTGTGCATGATGCCTCTGGTACGTGTATTGTGTGGAAACTGATATTATCTAGGCAACTGTTGTGGACACATAATTCCACTGAGGAGCAGCCCCAGTTTACAGTTTGGGCTAAAATACACTAGCACCATGTTTATGATGTGATTTTATCTTGTGGCGCTTAGCAGCATCTTGATGACTACCAGTTGCAAGGCTATAAGGACATGCACGGTGAGCACTAACCTTGGCCACACATCAGGAGAAACTTCGAGTTTTCAGCTAGTATGCTTCTCTTTGTTGATTTCTGGTGGAAAATTCTCGAGCTATTACCAGCTGCAACAAGAAATCTAATAAACAATATTGCATCAGCAATTATGACTCAGTAATATGATATAGATTAATTTTAAATGTGCCATTCTGCATGGAGTACTTTTAGTACTTTAAGTAGGTTTTGTACTAATACTTTGTACTTTTACTTAAGTAACATTTTGAAAGCAGCATTTTTACACTGTGGTATTGCTACTTTTTTTTTTACATAAGGGATCTGAGTACTTTTTCCACCGCTGTCCGTGAATGCAGTCGACTCTTAACTGAGAGAGGAGCTGTAGCTGTGGCAGCCCTCTGAGCCTTAGTGGAGACTGGTCCTAATGGCACCCGCTGACAAACAGACACACTGTCACATATTATAAAGACAACAAACATACTGTATTTACAATTCACTCTGCCCTTTGTCGCAGATCTGCCAGCCTCACTCCATTTTGCTTTCCTTATTGGGCACCGGGGGGGATCAAACCCACCAGGCAGCTACTCCATCTCCTCCAGAACAATTAGACATGGCTTATTAATGGCAATTTAGAGTAATTCTCCAAATATTTTGATATTGTAAGGGCAAATAATTTGTGTGTCCTGGTGGAGAGGCTGTTCTGTGTCCTGGAAAATAGTGATTAGACGCCACATGGTTTTAAAATCTAATGAAGACATCTTTGGGCAGTAAGTGTGTCATCTCATTGTTCCTGAAAATAAATCAGCCGGTTTTACAGTAATTCAGGCTTTTTTAATCCTTAAACATTTATGAATTTGATGTATTCGTTTTTGGCTAGAATTAAATAAGAATCATGATTGATCTGTGTAAAAGGGGGAATTAATGGGGACAGCCTTCAGGCATTGTTAGCATAGAAACACACTGACACGCACAACCTATCTGTGCACCTGCTGTACTCGGAGAAGTAGTGGCTTTTAGATATCAAATAACTGCAATGCCTCTGAGACTCCACCTTATACTCGGTAGTAAACATCCATGTGTCACACAGTATCATTTTGATACTGAACCACATTGAGCAGTTTGCACAACTGCACACTCGCTGCTGCAGAGACAACAACTCACTGGTATAATATACAGTGTAGATTGGGAACGGGTCAGCAAGCTTGCCAAGAGCCTTAGGAAATTGTCCTAATTTTATCAAAATGCCACTTAAGGATGCATTATGAGAGCAATTGAGGGGAAGATGTAGCACTTGAAGTTAATAGTATGCTCATTAATTAAATTGAAAATAGAGCCATCTTTACTTGTTTTTAACAAACAGAGGTAGGATATTTGTTCTGGGAGAGTGAACAGTTTTATGTCTAAAATGTAAATTTTTACATTAAAATTGGATGATTAAAATATGGTTTTTAAGAGCTACTCCACCAGCAGAGCTTAATTTTTAGTTATTGGCAATTATTGTTTTAAGAAGAATTTCCCAAGAATTTAATTTGTTAAATTAAATTGTGCTATAACACAATTAAGGCCTATTTGTGCACAGTATTCACAGCAGATACTGGATAAGGGGTTCAACTGTATAAATGAAAAATTAGTAATAATCTTTAAAGTTGCAATTAATTTTCATATTTTAGTTGATACAGACAGGTTACAGACAATATGTGAGGTAAATCCTGGTTCCCTTAAGTGAATCCGCAGTTCTCTGACTTGTACCTTCTCCTTGCGTCTTAGTTTTGGCCACATAAGATGTGAGAAGAGAGGAATAGAAGAAACATGTCCTAGAGATGAACTAGACTTGTGTAGTGGTCAGTTATTTTGTATACTGGTGTCGTGTTTGTGCCACAGGAGGGCATAGCAGCAAACTCTAGCAGATTTTCATACTATAAGGATAAGGATAATGTATTATGTAGCTTTATTGTGTACAAAGGGACATGTAGTAGCATATGGAAAAAGAAAGGAGCTGAGACAGGATTTTTCCTCCATGCATTGTTTTTAATTATATTTTGCTGTCACCTGACACAGTCAGTCATAGTCCACAGCAGGTTTTTAGATTCATCTGTTCATCTGTCACTCAGAGATCGACACCCGCAGCATGACATAATTTATCAGTGAAACCAGGACACACAGACGAGGACAGCATTAAAGTAGTCTACATATGACAGCATTTGCAGTGGCTTTCGGCTCGTTTCCCCCAGTGGGAGGCTCATTGTGTTGAGCTTTCACAGTTTTCAATTAAACCTAGCATAGTTTCTGAATTTGGCATTTTTATTAGATTGCAAAAACAGAAACAACTCTGTGCCAAATCAACAAATTAAATTCTTTGAAATGCATCTTGACCATATGACTTTGAAGCAAACAAGCTCCTGATGCAGTTCCTGATGAGCAGCTCAGCAGACAGACAGATCCGTTCTGGTGGCAGAGCCAATTATCAAGACAAAAGAAGCTCCAGAATGTTTCTGCCAGTGTTACAGTAGCTTTTTGCCACAATTTCCACAAGCTGTTGTCACATACAGCTTGAGTAAGCTGGCGTTGCTGTCACTACTTAATGTAGCATTATGAGTTTTTCCTTTTCTTTTTGTGTGTTTTTTTTTTTTTTTTCCTCCAATTTTTCTCCAGTATTTCTGTGTTGTTGGCATTAAGTGCTATTATAATGATCTTCTCGTCACACTTTGATCTAATCTTTAATTTGCAGTTGATTAAATGTTCTTGGGCAGGTCATCACAGCTATTCTTATTTTAGAAAGAGTAAGTAAGTGTGATTAATGAAGACTTGTGCACGTTGCCTTCCAGATTTTATTACTTTGCTTGACCTCCCTCCTCCTCTTCTGTTCTTTCGCTCTTTGTTATTTTTGCACTCTTCATATCACTTGTGTGGCCCAACACTTCTCTCTCATCTGCAAATCTGCTAGATTATAGTGCCATACTAACCATGGATCGTTTTGCTCAAACCCTCTTTTTTAAAGAGCTTTCATTGACTTTTTTATTTGCTTTTAGTTTAAATAAACAAACCTATAGGATGAGCCAAACGTCCTAACTGGGTGTAAAACATTCATATACTGATGGGTACAGACCTTGTGAAGAGGAGGTTATGGGGTTATAACCTGAGAGGTCATTTGTGTCATGGAGATTTTATTGGTTGTGAAAAGAAAATGGGTTTAAAGTAATAACAGAGGGCACAAAGCAAACATGAGCTACACTGTTACACATCATGGACCTTTGAGATTACTCAGTCTGGGATCAAAGAAAGATTTAAACCAGCCATATACTGTATATAGGAGTGAAAAAAGGAAATAAAAAAGGGTGCAGATATTTCCTTTCAGCCCGTTATTTCTGTTCCACCGCTCTGTAGTCTCCTTCATTCCAACCTGGTCACTCATTCATAAATGCTACAGCACATGTGAAGTGTTAGCTACCCTGGCAGTCGCTTATTTAACTGGGATTATTGATTAGTCATTGTTTACTGTGCAGAACACAAATACATTTTTTTTTCCTTTTTAGCAGTATTATAATGAAAGCCTGCTTTGTTGGCAGTGCTGAGGCAGTCACCTGGGATGTGATTAAACTGCTTAGGTAGTTTGCACAGACCTTTGTGCTGAAATAATCAATCAATTAGTGGATTAGAAAATTAATTTGCAGCTGTTTTGATGATCACTAAAGATGTCAAACTTGTACTGGCTTCTATGTGGATATTTGATTATCTCATTGTCAGCTGTTGGACAGACTATGCATTTGATAGTGGCCTGCAGACTGCCTTTTGGCTCTCTCTGTCACAAGAGCAGCATATTACAACTTACCTAACTTTAGTTTGTAATTATGTACTGTACTAATCTTTACAAAGTGCTGTCGCACTGAATGATCTTGCACAAAATGGGCATTAGGTGAGTTCATGTTTCACAGGGAAATCTCAACTATTGTG